ATTTCACTTGAAAAGAAGCTTTGCTGAAACTGGGAACCGTTCTTGATTTTTATTGCTTCTGTGTATGGCTTCATCTTGGTGTTTTTTTTCGATAATTCTCGTAAAACGGAGATATAACGTGTTTCTTGTTTTGTAAAGACGGATGTAACATTAAAGTTTCATTTATCATCAAAGCTGGAACAACTAATTTCTTGATTTTAATATTACACATTATTTAAAAATGACGCCCTGTTTTATAGTAACATCACTATGATAACGCATAGTGATATATTCATCTCAGTTAGAGCTTTCATAGCACTTTAAGATTGTCCTTTAAAATGAATCCTTTCTTTCGACTTTTAGCTTTATATAAGGTCATTAGCAAAGCATTTCCCCCACCCCTATGTGCCAAATAAGATTCAAGGGTATGGTTGATAAACTGAAGGTTTGAGACAGTGTGGAAAGGGATCAGGGAAGAAGAGAGGGAGTGATAGATAGATACATAAGAATATAGTGTGAAGGAAGTAGAATGGGAGAGAGATAGGTACAATGAGGGAGGGAGGTAGAATGAGAAAGAAAAAGAAAGAGAGATAGATAGAAAGATGAGGAGAGCGAAAACCGTGAGAAAAGAAAGCAAATGAAACAATCAAACTTATTTAAAGTTACAATATTATCCGTTCCTAAGAGAATTCCATATTTACACGGACACGCAGATTGATAAACTAATCAGTAATTCTGGTTAGAAGACCCTTTGAGATCCGATTAAACATTCAAGGCTAATTTTTGTATCTTCAACAGGAAATGCCGCAGGAACCAAGTTTTTGGAGGAGACTGTGCCGGGAATTTCTGGTTAGTAAGAAATATTGTTACATTTTGGTCTAATTAATCACTTTTTGTTGAATGATTGATATTACATGGTAAAATATCCATGGTTGATTAGAATAAAAGATTAAAGAAATTTACCTCTTTAAAAGTCACAGTAATTAGAATACGATAGGCTGTAGGGATAGGCTGTAGGGATTTAGAAATTGACATTGGTTATTTTCACTTTGTTGAAACCGGGAACAGTTCTTGATTTTTATTGCTTCTGTTTATGGCTTCATCTTGGTGCTTTTTTCGATAATCTTTGTTAAACTGAGACATAATATGTTTTTTGTTTCGTAAGGGCTTAGATAGAACACGGAAGTTTCACCTATTATCTTAACTGGAACAAGTAATTTCTTGATTTTATTACACATTTAAAAATAACGTCTGGTTTTATGTTAACATCACTATAATAACGGATAAAGTACTCTATCTATTTCAGATCTCTCATGCCACTTTGAGATTGTCCTTTAAAATGGATCCTTTTCTTCGACTATTGCTTGTTTAGAATCCGTGGACATTATACGAACTGCTAGATTTATATACGGTAATTAGCACAGCATCCCCCCATGAGCCAAGTGAAATTCAAATAAAGAAATTCTCAATATTCACAATATATTTTTCAGAATCTGTTCAAGAATGGGAAACGCAAAAAATCCGGAAATTCCCCGGCGACCAAACCTCCAGAGGAAAAGCCCCTGAATGCCGACGATGCAGGCGAGGGCGACGGTGCTGCTGACGGCGACGGCGGCGGGCATCGGAGTGCCAGCCATGAGCAATGAGTGCCTGCATTTTACCTTCTATGGAAACATGCAACCACATATGATTATAATCATATAGGCACATACCCAAACACACCGTTCGCACATATTAGGAGCTATGCACACACACACACACACACACACACACACACACACACACACACACACACACACACACACACACACACACACACACACACACACACACACATTTACGTGCAAATGCATAAGCAAACACAGATAAAACACATATGTACACCGACAATCTAACCAAAAAAATACATGTGAATTAGTTAGGTAAAATGTGCTAACTTACTTTTATATGAACTCTATGCAATGAGCCAGCAAGTGATGCCATGCAAGAATTCTAAAGGTTCTAGGGACATCGTCAGCTGATGCCTCATTTAATGAGATGCCGGAGAACCCAAAGCTTAAAGAGTGGCCTCAGTCCGGTACTCGAAGTCGGAGGAGTAATTGTAGTGTATGTAATATCAAACTAGTGAAGATTTTATTTTTATTTTATGCATCTATTATATTTACGCGCTCGCACACACACACACACACACACACACACACACACACACACACACACACACACACACACACACACAACACACACACACCACACACACACAATCACACACACACACAATCACACACAACACACAACACACACACACACACACACACACACACACACACACACACACACACACACACACACATATAACCGACACACAAACAATAATCAATTAAACGTGTTCAGTTAAATTAGTCAACGTTTTTTTACTATAAATTCAGTACTGCGTATGTGTACACTACTCATTAGAATATATACACATTGCAATACGCAATTGTATATTTGCTCATTATTAGATCTTCGATTTATTACTTCTTAGCAATAATACAAAGCTGAATACTGAATTATACGGATAGACTGAAAAGAATCTATTGGTGTTGTGAATCCTTACCTCTGCCTATGTATGATACTCTAAAAATGATTTTGGTTATGATTTTTATTTTGTTCTACTCTACGCTAGTCTCTTCATATCTGCGGAATGCACATGCATTATTTTATGAATCTTGTTAATAATTTAAAGCAATAAATATAGCTTTATTGAATGGCGAATTTTCCTCGTTCTGTTTCTTTTTCATATTATTGTGTCCATATTTAGTCACATCGCAGACCCGTCTTCATGGGTGGCTTTTAAAAAAAGAAAAAAAATGTACACTCGTGATAAGTGTCTCGCCTCGGACAGTTTGAAGAAATTGAAAGGGCTATCAAGTAGAAAAATCTTGATAGTCTATGTATCACTGGAACGTGGCTTTACCAAGATATGTTACGTGATTCCATCAACATTTCTAACTTCAATGTTTATAGATGCGAGACAGGACATGGAAAAAGGGTCTGCAAATGTGTACGAGAAACACTCAAAGCAAATGAGATATCAGCTATAACTTTTAACAGTGCAAGTGTTTGGGTTTCCGTACTTATCAGCATGCTACCAATAGAAACCTGATTGTCTTGTAAAAAAAGTAAAAGAGAGAGAGAGAGAGAGAGAGAGATGCCATTTAAAAGGAAATCTCCTTTTGGCTTGGGTGATCTAAATGATGACTTAAGCAAGCCAAAGGGAAAGTTAACCGAGCTGATAAAAAAATTGAATGAATTGTTAACAAACCTACACGGGTCACGGGAAATCATACGTCATTAATATATATATATATATATATATATATATATATATATATATATATATATATATATATATATATATATATATATATATATATATATGGCACGTGTAATAATAATAAACCAAACAACGATAATTGTTGATAAAAAGATCAACTGTCATAGAAGCTTTTTATGACAAATTAACTCACTGTCCATTTCCCAACGAATTAAAACCAAAGAATTGACGCTTTTTGGTTTCGTTTTAGCAGATACTGTAAACAAGCAGGTAAATGTCCATAACGGAAGTGATTAAGAATATTACAGATGCCATCGCTCCCTTTCTTATGTCCTTCTCCAATGATAAACGATAAAATCAAGAGCACGATAACAAAGAGAGATAATACTGGCAAAGCTTTCAGAAATAATAGCTTTGTCATGGCACTTGATGTGATGATGACGTTGGGTTTATCAGCTATGTGTGGTCACTTCAAGATTTTTTTTTTCAAAGGGAAACATTCAAATAAAACTCTGAATGTCAAAATGTCAATCCCCCCTGCTTAATGAACAGTCTCAGAAACATCATGTTTAGCAGCCGCCCTCTATTTCACGGAAAGTTTGCAACTGGAGCACATCCATAAGGCCAGACAAGAAGGAAACCAGCCCAAGACTTCCAAATCTGACTCTTCCTCTACTCCAACCGAAGCCCCTGAGCTGCGGACTTGCATCAGCTTCAACTGCACTACATGAAGGCATTGTTGTTGCAAGTTTCTATTCATAACTTAACCTTCTTGCATTCCTCCTTCTGAAACTGATGCAATACCAAGAACTGATGCAACACAGTCTCGCATTAGAAAAATTCAACACACCTCCAGCCACTCAAAACACGAACCTCTTTCTACAACCAGCTGTAAAGAAACGGTTCCCGAGCCTCTTTGCACTTCTCACAAAATAACTTTCTAGAATTCTCTTTTGCAGACAGATATACTTCCTGCCCCACAAGCCCATGCCACAACACCTAGGTCATAACCTAAAATAGGAATTCACTACAGTATCTGCAACATAAATATAACCGACTGATGAGGAAGTAAATGTATATGCTTCTAAAAGCATATCGAGGGATATGCTTTTAGAAGTATGTTTTATGCAGTATGTTTCATAAACCAGTCATAAACGCCAATTTTAAAAAGCAAACCCATTACATGTAGACAAAATGATGTTTCACAGTATGTTAACACTGGGTAACCTGCTTGCCATTAAGAAAATAATGCCAGTCTTATGATCGGAAAAAAAATGGATTTCCTTAGAAATCATCGAACTGATTACTACCGAAACTCATAAGTACTATTACCGATTTATTTGTAATTATTTTCTTTCCATTGGATGTGGTAATACATTAATCAACACAGAATCAACTCCATACAGGCAGTGGCCGGAGTCTGGGTGAAGCAATCTCTCGTGACGTCACGAGGCTTTCTGTTCATGAGCCTTTGAGATCACGCACGATATCTAAAACTGACAAAAGTCAAATATCTTTTATTCCACTGGCTGGCAATCTCTGTCAAGTTGAACCGTTATCATTAACAAAAGAAAAAAATATATTCTTGATAAGTACTAGGTATCTTATCAGTCTCGTGTGTCTCCGCATAAACGAATGTGCTTGCGAGTCAGTGTGATTCATAACGAAGAAATATAAGTTGCGATCAATATCCCTTACGAATCTC